GAAGCTGGCAGATGATAGCCTCTGTTACTTCGATTCAACAGGAAAGGAGAGAGAGAGAGAGTACGAGAGTTTTGAGAAACGGGATGATGCATGATTGACTGTCTTGGCAATTTGTTTTCCCCAATCTGTACATTTGGCTGGTATCATTGGAGACGCGACCGTTTCGCAACCCATGTTGGACGGATGGGACATTTAACTCGTGGGTCGAGACATGCCGAGTGAACAGACGACACTGTCGGTAAATGTGTTATTTCTTCCATCAAGATGAAGCACTGGCCAATTAGTTGGAGTCGTCCTCTGTGTATTTGTTCATAGCGACCACGATACCGCGGGCAAACACTCAAGGCAATGCGGCCGGGGTATGTATTGCAGCAGACAAAAAAAGGAGCCTTTGTCTCAACCAAGAAGTAGTAAGCCAGCAACAGAGGCAACACCCGAGTGGCCATGCTGCAGTCCATTCGGACAGTAAGCTGATTTTTTTCCCCTTCTGCTAATAAGCTTCTTCATTGGGGGGACGGGCCTGTTGGGCATCAATACCATGGCAGCAGACAGGGTGCCGAGTCAAGCTCGAGCAACACGCACGGGCAGAAGGAGCTTTTGCAAGACAGCAAGACGCCTCCGCCGAGGCGCAGGATGCAAGCCCGCAGAAGAAAGCATCGATTATTGCTCCGTATGGAGTATGTACTCCGTAGCACGGAGTAGTAGTTGCCTCCTCGTTGGGTTCGCCTATTTTTTACGACGGCGATTTTGTGCAACCCGCCTTGCTGAAGCAGTGCTGCTCAACCATGGAACAGACACATCAACAATAGCATTGGCGCCATCAAAATTCGATCAATGAGTGTCCCGTGTCGTCTTCACCGCAATCTGTTAGTCGGGCTGAAGAAAACGATTAAGGGCTTTCGGACTGATCTTGACGATGCTCAACTCAGCTGCTCCGTAGAAACAACCAACGCCGCCTCTGCAAATGGGTAGACGGGACCATGGCTGGTTTGGGAGTCTGCCCGCATCAATACCTGTTGGTTGACTCGCGAATGAACGATGGACGGCAAATCGGAATGCAAGAAAACTGTGATTTTTCTCAAACGGCCAGCTGCTGGCAAGGCATGAGATGTCAATATGTATGTCAGTTAGGATGGATCGTGGATGCGCCTGCACCAGTGTCTGAAAGCTGCATACATGTACGTACCGTCAATGGACATCTTTGCGTGCACTGGCCATCTGTCAGGGCTGCTGCTCACCGGAAATGCTTGATCCGATGCATGCATTTAGGTAAAGTAACTATGGTCTAGACGTATAGGTCGACGGTACATGTGCTGCGGAGAAGTGACTGTCGAGCTCTTTGATCCGGAGGCGAGGTCGCCAAGTGCAGTACATAAAGTACCTTGCGTGCCCTTGCGTCGTGTGTTGTCAAGTGTATGTAGGTGAACTCTGTATGTATATCTGATTGGGTGTGGTGCAGATTCGCGAGACTTGCAGCAATCTGCTGTATATTGGCGTCAACGGCACATACCGAGCATTGAACACATGCAGTCTAGACTGTCTGGTGGCAGAACATATGTGCCCACCAAGAAGTTCACACTAATATACTGTAGTATCTTGTAACAGACATGGAGCGTGATGCCAGGCACCTGATCTGATCGAACACTTTTTGCCTCCCACTGTAGCAATTGCAGACGCAAAATTATCTTCCCTACAACTCGCTCTCGCTCTTGATCCAAATGCTGGAAGCAAGAATATCGTTATGCCCCAGTTGTTGTTAACGCATACATGTGCTGAAGATATGCATATACAGGTAACCGTGCTCCTCCAAGCGCTTTTTGGTCATGTACATGAAAAAAGAGGAAACCATCATCATAGCGACCGACAAAAGTAATGCATGTATTAACGGCCAATCTGCTTTTGAAAAAAAGAAAAACATCCCAAAAAGAACTCATATCGCTGTCCAGGGGTATGTCACTGCCTACTCCTCAAATGAATGTTAATCCCGCCGTTGTAAGAAGAGAAAACGCCCAATCCATGTCGTTACTGAGAATTCAGTGTGCCGCCCTCCCTTATAAGCACAAATTAGCACCCTTTTTGTTGATCTCGCTGTTTCAGTCTCTGCAACCTCTTGAGTAGTGGCTAGGGCGACTGCCATTGCAGAATGGAAAAGTATAAAACCAATTCGTCATGATATACCTCGGGGAAAATCTCGTACGCATACGATGGCCAGTCTCCATCTTCTGCACCCGTCCTCAAGAAGAATTTTACGTACTCCCAGTATTCGGGGAACCAACCTGCTTCTTCCCAATCAACCAACCCCACAATCCTATCGTTGGACACAATGATGTTTCTGGGGCTCAAGTCCCCGTGTGTAAAGACAATTCGATGGCCATTCCTCTGCTGTCTGGTGAAGGCATCCCTCACCGGTCTCGGCGTGACATGCGACAAGTTCGATATCAGGTACTTGTTGAACTCGTCCTCGTTGACAAGCGACGGAAAGTAATGCGAGTGGCAGAGTCTCGAGTCGCGGAATTGGCCACCACTACAGGCACCCACCAATCTAGGGGGAGCCTGTAATGCACGCATGGCGGTGAGCATACTGCGGAGTTGGAGGGCAATGCTACGCTTCTGACGAAGCGTCATGGTCCGCCATACTTCTGACAAGGGCCGGCCCTCGACTTGGCTCATCTGAAGAACATTGATGCCGCCGGGCTGGCTGTCCGTGGTGAAGATTTCGGGTACGGGCAGACCTGCAAGAGCGGCAACTTGGATAGCTTCGGCTTCTTCGAGGGAAATGGTTTTGCCCGACTTGACGATGGTTTTGTCTGGGAAGAGGGTGACACTTCGGTCCGATGTGCTGTAGAGAAGGATGGAACCTGTTTTGAACGAACACGGTTAGTTACAAATGACGGCATATGACAACTCGGAAACTTGGATATCCGAAGGAAACACGAGTTGTAAGCACAAAGGGCCTCGTACCATCTGATTCCGTGCCATGATTGTCGTCGACAGTCGATGGTGAAGGAGCTGGTGCACTTTCATCCAGCTGCCCCAGATATTTCCACACGACGTCGAAACTGCCCAGCAGTTTGGGCTCCGCACCAATCCCTACCACAGATTTCTCTTGCGTTACCATTATGAAAGACTGGAAGGTGAAGGGAGGTATTTTGTAAATCGGGGCGAGTTTGTGTGACTTTGACACTGCGGCTGCAGCTGCGGCTGTGGCGCCGGCACCTTCAACGAGACAGCGTCGTCGAATTCACGACTGATTCGAAATTTTCCATTCAAAGAGGCGAAATAGAAAGGAAAGAAGGAAAGAAACGCAAAGAAAAAGGAAAGACTTAAAGGCTCGAAAACTGTCAGCTAGAGAACCTCAGAACCTCCATTTTCCCGCCGAGGCAATCTCATTTTTATTTCTGAGCGGCGGGAATGGTCCTTACTTGCGCAGTCCTCCGTGAGGGGTTCCATCCACTTCTTATCAATGTTGGTTGCAGCCCTGTCTCTCTGTCTCTCATTGATCCCTCCATCTCCCCTCTTTAGACTTGAGCACTTGAGCGTGACATTGGTTCGCTTTTGTGTAACAGGCAACCGCCCGGCGCGGGAGCATGGGATGTGACTGATCCCATGCATTGCCCGCTTCTGGCAAGCGTTGGGCAGTTTTTTTTTCTGGCAAATGGATGGGCAATATTGACAGAGACCGCCATGGCTACTCCGGCTCTCAGAGGCATGATGCTGCGGCATAGAGAGTCCTCCTTACTGAGGCAGCATGGAGTGGTTCACGAGTACTACTCGGTCCCGATGGGGGGCGACATTCCCGTGGGATGATTCAGAAATAACCCGGTCTATTCGGCCTGCCCCCGGTAGTACTACTTCCAAGGACAAGGGCCACCTGAGCATCTTAATGGACCGTTGTCTTCACGCGGAACTGGTGCGTAGAAGCATAGGCCAACATGTCTCGATGTGCGTAAAGTGCTCAGGTCAAGGAGCGCCCCGTGTCTGTATTTGTGTGATGATGAAAAACAGAGAGCAAAAGGCCCAAAAAAGACCCACGAGTAGAACTCCTTGAAGGATATTCTGCATCATCCTGGCCTGCCGGATGCCGATTGCTCGTTTCATGCTACATGCCCTGCAACACTATATTTTTCTTTGTCGATCTTATCATTTCACATCAAACATTGCAGATGCCGCCGCCTACCGCTGTGCCAAACCTCAAGGGTTGGCCATGTGTCGATTGGTGGGCAGACGCAGCATCTCGAGAGCCACCTAATAAGAGTAAGAGTCCAGGCCTTCATGCACCTCTGTCATTATTTCTCTCGGACAAGGGCCCCAGCATAACTGTAACAAAGGACCAGGTCAATCTCCACCTTTCACAGCATGAAACGAAACGGAAGCAAAAATGTGCAAAGGCAAAGGGGACCACGGCCAACAGGATTGAAAGGGGAAAAAATAAAAATAAAAACCAAGTGCCTGTACGGAGTACCATCAGTTCCAGGCACCCAAAAAACTCAACAACACATGAGATCAGTTTGCCCCCAACGCCATGTCCGCCTTGTGATGACTCCAACTCACTCATGTTGCCGGCCCAGACTCAACACCTAAAATACCACACATACAACACATGCCACCCACCTTGATGACCTTTTGGCGGACTCTGCCACACACTCTTTGTCCTGTGCGTTGTGATCGCTCAGGTCGTGCTCTCCCACATGGTTACTTGCCAAATGCGGCTGTCGTGGAACGGAGCTCTGCCTACCAGTGGCTTTGTCGATCGAGGGACCATTGAATCGGACAGCGACCGGGAATATTTTGGAGCAGGCGGAAAACAAACTGGGGATGTGAATCAAGCATGTAATAAGAAAAAGAATAAGACGATTAGAAAGAAAGACAAACCCCGCAAAAGACTCTCAATACCATGAAACCATGCGTTTGTCTCGTAATTTCGTTGCAACTTAAATCGTAGTTGTAGATATCATCTAGTAGCCCTAACAAGCTGCGGCAAAAAATCACCACCTTGGTGATTAGACGACATCTGTGGTGTCATTGCTGCTGCTGCTGCTGCGGATATGGCCGTGATGTGTCTCCGGGAGCTCATCAGCCGAGCCCTGCAGAACCGTCACAAGCATCTGTTCGAAGCCGTCATCCAGCTGCCTTCTGGTCAAGTGGCCCTTGGAGACCAGAAACGTAAGTGCTTCCCAAATCCACTGCTGGCCATTGAATTCGAGGTTGTGGTTTTCGATGGGCACGTCGGTGAGGATCTTGACCAACTCGCTGGCGGATAATTTGTCCGTCCTGCCAATGTAAATGAGCGGGAGGGCACTTCCGGTGCAGGTCGGATCCCAGTCTCTCTTGATCTCGAACTGGTAGTTGTGGATGGCGCGCTTCACGTGAAAATAATACTGGGATCCTCTTTCGCACGGAACGAACCAGAGGCCAATTCGTCGCTGGTGAGACGTGTCTTGGATGCTTCCGCGATGAACCACGATGTGCGTTTGGAACTCTTGCTGGTGCCTGTCCATCTTTAAAGCATAGGCGGAGGCAGGTGTGCCGATGGACAAAGTAGGGCGAGGGGAGGGGAGGGGAGCAGGCAGAGAAGCAGAGGGAGAAGTAAAAGGCGCAGGTGAAGAGAGACAAAGTGGATGGACAGGAAGAGAGAGAAAGAGAGGGACAGGAGAAGGAGAGAGACACAGAACGGAGACGGACGCAGAGGAAAAAGAGCCTGGCTCGCGGATTGAACAAAAACCAGACAGATGCTGCTGGCGAGCTTGTTAGCGACCGGAAGGAGAAAAAAACCGGCCACATGTGTATGCACCTGAGGGAATTGAAGATGGACGCGATACCGACTTTTTTTTTTTTTTAAGTTTTTGTTTGTGGATTCTGATTGCAAAGGGTGGCAGTGATGAAAGCCGTCTGGGGATATCGGTTTTGTCAGGAGCAGCTAATGCAGAGCATCGCAGGGACTCATGGCTTCATATCGTTGGCAGCGTGGAGAGTCAGCAATAGTTGGTTGGTGATGATATTTTTCATTGTTGCGAAGCTCGTTTGCCCGTTGGACACGACCTTTGTGCCACAGGATTGAAGGCATCCAAGCTCATTGAGGCGGGTGTCGTCCGGCGTGGTGCATCGTGTGTGTCCATGTGTGTGTGTGTGTGTGTGTACGACTTTTATCGGTTTGTCCAGGAGACTTTGACGAGACAAGTCATGCACCACGGGGCCGAGTATGGACGCGGGCATCAAGACGATGATGGAAAACATATACGATACAACATGTTGGGATGTTTGGATGGGAGGGGGCCGTTTGGGGCGGCACATATAAGAGCATCAACAAGATATGATACTTGCTCGCCGACGCCATAGATAGAGGGGCCGTCCATGAGTTTGGGGGACGGGCGGTGAAGTGTCTGGCAAAATGTCCCATCACTAGATGGCCCGATGAAAAGTATGAAATGGAGGCGTCCTGTGAGGATGAAGCATTGATGGTTAATACATGAGTACCAAATACGCGTGCATCGTCATGTTTGAAGCCCCGCGTAGCCCTCGAGCGGCTAAGTACTTGAGTAATAAGCAATTACGCTCAGGATACATGAACTCTTGATGAACCAAGTCCCCGGCAGCCTTAGGTTCCAGGTACTTGCCAAGGTACCTACTTAGTAGGTAGTACTTAGTAAGTATCGGATCGGTAGGTGTTTGGAGGCGGCGGGAAACTGTGTCTGGTATTTTCCCCTCGTCTTCCTCTCGAATAGAGAAAGAGAGAGGCTTACGGGGGAGTGATGTATCGTAACATCAACGGCTACTAGGAGAGGAATGGGCGGGAACAAGGCAGAATTTGCCCAGAAAATTAAGGCATCATCATGGCAATAGTGGTCAATGGTCAGACACGCTTTGAGTAGATGCATCATCAATCGATCGAATTTGGCGCGGCCAAGCCGTCAACTCGCAACATTCCTTCGAAGCGGTTTCAACATTGAATCTTCCCCAGACTTGCAAATACTTGACCAAACCAGACATTTCGGTGTTATAATATTGACGGAACTCGCCGCAGCTACATGTACAGTGGCGGGCTTCTGGACGGGTATGGCGGCTCCTGCCGCTGTCATTGGGCCCGCCACTCCACTGGAGGGGTCAACGGTCTGGTGGCGCGGGGTTTCCCAAGGGTCGATGCCCACTGAATGTCCTCGGAGCCCCTCACCATTGAAAGCACAGGCCCTAGCCCTCTGCCCCTCGGGTCGGTTGGGCAACCACTAGGCATGAACGATCATCTGTTTAGCTTGAACTAGGCACTACGCCGCATCACGGCAGCTGTGACAATCATCGCCATCATCGCCAACCACCACCATCCTTCACCATCCGTCTCCGACATGGACAGCAGCATTCTCCACTTGGTCCGTCCGCCATCCAAGCCACTCCCGAGCAATTGCGAACTACAAGTCATGAACTCGTGCGTCCACCTGCAACCCCAATATCGCGTCCCTGCAGAGTACTGCAGCACTTGACTACCTCCTTTCTTCGTTTCCAACTCCACGCCATCGTCATCGACTTTTCAAGTTGGACCATGTGAGCTCCCGGCGGCAACTTCCAACGTCGTGGCCCATAACCTAACCGTTCATGTGAGTGAGCAAATCGAGTAACCCCCCATTCATGCGTCAATCCGTCCATACTTGCTCGTGTTCCTGAATGTTTACACTAGCCAGGTCGTGCAACACTGCCAAGACCACAGAACCTATGTTGCATCTTGCAAGAAGCCACCTACCATACCGGCCGTGTAAAAAAAACCTTTGGCTCTCGGTTCGCCCTGGACTCCACGTCTCTTTGCAGAGCACCAAGTGCGACTGCCAAGGGTTCAGTCTTTCCCGGTAGACTTCGTCTATAAGAAACGCCGTCTTCTCCCCGCCGCAAAAAAAAAGAAAGAAACAAAACGAACACAGCGACACGTCGACATGACACGACTGGTGAATCCAACATCACATGTACTCCACGATTCACATTTGCCACTTGGGGGACCTACAATCTCGTACGGAGCCCACCATGGCTATTTTCATCGGATCGGCTTTTAGCCAACTGGGAGGCGACTCGTGGTCCATCCTTGACCCGACGGCCGAATCACCGGGCCTCCTCCTTGTTTGTTCCACATCACCGAACATGCCGTCCTGTCTTTTGTTTGTTGAAACGAGGCACCAATGACTTGGCGGGGTCCAAGTCTTTCTTTCTTGGCGTAGTATTCGGACCAAGGGGGTAAGCCGTTGAGCTTGTGACAACCGGCTTGCGGATGATCAAACCAAGCCGTGACATGCAAAATCGCCATAGTTCCGGAATCAAAGGAGAAACCCGTATATTGCCGCCTTTGATGCTCGCCGCCGTATCCTCACAAAGAGGGCTGTCAGTTCAACTCCCGTGGAAGGGGTGCGTGCGTGGTTGTCTCTGGCATACCGTGTAGCATGGGTTTTTGCCTTGTTCGCGATGCTAGTCAAAAGAAGACAAGGCATGTAAGAATGGAAACAATGCCTATTACACCACCCCTTGTTTTACTGTACACGCTTGCCAACGACATGGCAGTCATGGCAGCCCCCAAGTTGTACGCACTTTTGTCAGTTTAACCACAAAGAGACGCCTGAGGCACTTATCCCGACCCTGCATCCTCATCAAACCTCGAGCCCGAGTCCATTTGACCCCGAGGCCAGGCGCACAGCAGACTCAAACTCTGTGTCACGTAAGCCGATTGGTGCCCTGGCCATCTTGAGCGTGTTTGTACAAAGCCTGTGGATATGAGCATTGGTGGTCAAGTAATGCAGACGGTTAAACAACCCACCATTTACAACCTCTAAAGGGTTTCTCCGCAAGTTGCTCCGATTTTACAGAAACAAATCCAAAGTGTGAGATGCAGTTTTCTGGGCCACGTCTGCTAGCCTGCGGCCCGAATTCGCAATGGAGATTGTAGAGACGAGTTTTGCACTGTGTCAATGATGCCGGTTCGTCATGGCCCGTCAGCAGGAAACTACGGCTAAGACCCTCGCCGACGCCTTTCATGGCCACGTTACACTGAGCAAAAATAGATGCACGAGGCGAGTTTATAGGTTTGCAACCCAAACCACCAGGCCAATCAATCCTCATTCATGAGTGTACGGAAGACGGAGATTCGTGGACGAGGACCGGGATGAATCCAATCAGGGGCCGAGCCAGGGTGTTTGAGTAGTTCTACTGCTAGTAATAGTACCAAGTTCCCAGAACAGGGACCAGTGATGGATGCGATCCCGTTACGCAAGCACACAGAGCTTTGTCCAGAAATAGACCGATTTACAGGGGATTTGGAGCCGTCGGCGGACGGCATCCTCGTCCCTGCCTGTGGTAGATGCACAAGGCACCTGCGCAGATGTCATGTTGGCAGTCCGGTGGCTACGCACGCTTGCCAAGCTCATCTGCCGGCTCATCTTGCAAGGCTGCACATGCAGATTCGAGCCCCGTGCTTCTAATATGTGTTGATGTCTACAATACTCATAGGCAGGCCAGGTCATCCAGGTCAGCAGAAACAGCGTGTCCTGCAACTAACATGGTCGGATTCGACTGTTGGGTTGGGTGCCAGAGTCTTGATTGTTGCATATTCAAAACTTTGTCCACGCCTTTTTGTTAAACTTGCCCCTTTCGACGAAAGTTTGCTCGGACGTACTATCCCAAAAGGGAGGCTCTGGGCATGTCGCAGTGGCATGCCGGTGGCAGCGTTCTAGAATATCACAAGACACTGATCGAAAGGAGACTCACCAAACGACTCTCACGAGACAGCAGTGGCCCATGGAAGGTTTTGGCATCCTTCTCCCGTCATCTGCGGACCTTGATGCAATATTCTGTATCGAGAGATGGAACATAGGAGCGGCGTCTATAGGCCATCAAGGCGGATGCGCAAATGTTCGCCATGCCCAATCAACGAGAGCGGAAGAGCACAACTGGCGTAATCTACACAACAAACGGAAAAGTCCAGAAGTCGGCCTAGAAACCTACCCTTGGCGAGGCAGGACATCGATGGTTTCAACTTCAATCCAGAAATACTAACTAGATGTTAGCATCAAATAGGGTTGCGCCAAGCTGAGCTCATTGCTAGTGGTGCGTAGCTGTGAAAATGTCGGATCTGGTCCAATCCAAAGAAGCACCCATGTGCCACCGTGCCCCCGGTAAATGAACATTGAAGGTTTGCACCTCATCCCCCAATGAGACATTGGCATGGACGCTTCAAAACCCAGGCAGATACCAGAGCGTAAAAGTTGTACACACTAGGCGCACGGCCAGGCAGGCTCCCCTGAGAAAAATTAAGGTTGCAATCAAGGTAGTTCGTAGTGTACATGTATGTACATACTGTACAGTATTGATTTGCTGCCCCTCATCTCCCAGTCTTTTCAAAAGAGCGGCGAATCGTGGGATGGCCGCCAAGGACTCTGTGCTGCCTGCTAGTAAGACATTGATCCATCTTGCTGATCGGGCGGTATTGCTGCATTTCAACCGCGCCATACATAAGCAGCAAGAGGAGAGTCCA